CTGCTTATCAGCAGAAGCTGGATAAGCTGCAGCTACCCCAAACAGACCCTTAGTAGCTATAATTGTTAATTTATAAGATGAAATTCTTCATAAAGTTCAAAAAATGATATTTTCAAACTATTGATTCGGCCATGAACAAAAAAGAGTTTTTAACTTGTGATTAAACCATAAATTTATCATTCATTAGGGAATTAATAATAGCAAGAACAAAGATGTAATTAGAGAGGTCAATAAAATTTAATTTATGTGCATGCGCTTAAAACGATCCGTCAAGAAGACAGGCGTCGAGATGGCCTGCTAAGTTGGCATGTTGAGTTGCCATATTTTGAGTTCAAACTCTCGAACACAATTCATACACTACAGCGAATGACATCACATAAGACTGCAAGAAGCAACATAACATTATGTATATTTATACATTTTTATACCTTGTCAAATCTTATAGCAAGTCAAAAAAAAATAGTGAAAGATCAATAGAACATACCACCAAAATCCTACATATTTACATATCGAACATCTATATATATATATATACATTCATACCAACTAAATCTTTTGTATCACATAAAAATAAAAGTATATTAACTTTTGAAATGTGAAATACACCTTTGCATGCGAAGACGATGTGGCATATATGTAAAAAAAAATAGAAGTTTAGGTGTCATGTACATAAACACATAGGAATTTAGTGGCATGCATGCATGCAAATTTTCCAAAAAGTAAATCAAATACAAGATGCTCCTCAACCAAGTTAGTGACATTCATCATACAAAATATACAATGGCAAAAAACAAAACATAAACATAGAGCGTTCACATATTGTGCAAGGGATGGGTACACATTACACCATACTAACAATACTGTACACGACTAATCATTTGAAATGTTTGATTCATACCAACACTAATAAAATAACCAATGCTACTCCCACCACAATAAAGCCAACGACACCGCCCCCACACAGCACAAATCAAAAAACAGAAGGCCATTTTGGAGCTAAGGGTATTAACTATGGTGTTAAGAGTAACATACATGACAAAAATATATGCCTCATAAAAGATTTTGAGCCGAACCTGAAGCAAAATCAGTCATCTCCAAAGTTCGCCCCTATTTCAAATTAGACCCATAGTAGTTATCATGATTAAAGCCCTCCATTGAATAAGCATATGGGAGATGAGGTCCATAGATAGGACTCCCATTTATGGTAGGAATTAGCTCGTTTTGAGCACATTCAGTGTTATCGTGGTTCGCTTTCGCCCGTCCCTTGCCATGCCGTTTCTTGTCCGAGCAATTTTTGGCGCTGAGCTTGCCCATTTGCTGCTGCAGGTCGACGAGCAAATCGACATTAGGCTTCGCCCTGCTGCTCTTCTTGTGATCGGTGAGCTTAAACTCGAGTCTGTATAGGGCGCACACGTCGCTGTTGCTTATCTCGTACTCGAAAAGATGCCACTCGAAATGGTTAGAAGGTTGTGGATCCATGTAATAGGATCTCTTCAAACCTCCAAATTCTTCCATCACCTGCTTCCTGGATTCATGCCAACCACGACCGCTGTAGTCTGGCAATGACCGCTGCTTTCTGTTCCCGCTTTCGAAAGCTCTTCTGGGCTTGTCAAAGAAGAGCCATTCTCTCAACGATTCACCCTCGAGAACGGAAAGATCGAATAACTCTGCAGATGAAGTCGGAAATTTTTTTAGCTAAGGAGTAGTAGGGATGTCGAAAAAGTATGTTGTTGTGTTCAACTCAATAATTAGCTTTAGTTTAGCTAGTTTTTATAAAGCTCATGTATTTAAAGAGTCAAATAGGAACAAGGCCTTTTTCATTGTTATGCGGTTTTAGAGTAGCCTGACTATAGATGTATATATTATGTATAATCATTTATGTTTATATTTGTATGAATATATATATATATATATATATATTGTGTGTGTGTGTGTGTGTAGCAATGCGTATAATCCATAAATTTGCAGAAAAAAAATAAAAATAAAGCCTACGTATAATGCATAAATTTGCAGAAAAAAAATAAAAATAAAGCCTACCAGGAGCATTCCAAGGAGACTTTATTGTAGCAGCCCCTTCACATTGCGGTATACCAACATCCTTGCCTTGAGCCTTCGCTGCGAGTGAAGCAAAAAGAGGACCATCCTTCAGATCAATGCCTCCGGGACGCAGCACCGGAATCATGCCAAGAAGGCCTTCGTTAAAAGCCAATGTTGCATGGAAGCTGCTGCAGTAGTCCTGACACCATTCTGATCCTTGAGTGGGCCGGGGACAATCCCAAAGCGCACATTTTTGCCTTAAAAAAGCTGCAGGAGGTGGACATATCATAGGTAGCATTTCTTGAAAATGTGGCAAAAGAGTAACTGCATCAATATACTGATTATTCTGCATGTCTTGATTCAGATTAAATTGCGGGTAGTCAACAGCAGAGGCCACTTGGCAATTGGATACAGCATCGGCCGTATCTATGGTGAGGTTGACTCTATATTGATTAGCGGTTACAAATTCATTTTGTAGCAGTTCCTGATGCACATGGTAATTCAGTAGCATGACAGAAATATGTAGTAGGCGTCTAGTAGAAAAACTTACAGAAGTTGCTCAGAACTAATGAATGAGAAATCATGAAGGCTGAAATTAATTATTTATAAGAAAAGATGGGAGATATTAAGTATCTAAACTTGCAGGCATGTACACATAGAAAAGATAAATGACATGATAGGTGCTTCTAGAACCTTAATATTACAATAATAAATTGGAAGATAAACATGCATACCACTCAATTCTTATGTATGTACATATGTAACACCTAAACTTCAATTTTAATGTGTATAACACTCATGCACAAAAAGGCGTGTTTCATTTCTTTTAAGTTAAAATAGTTCAAACTTTTATGTGAAATGAACGATTGAGGTGGTATACATGTAAAAAGTAAAGTTTAGGTGTTAGATACATAGATACATAAGAATTGGGTAGTATGTATATAGTATGTATAAGAATTGGGTAGTATGTATGTAAATGCCCCTAATAAATTTACAAACTTGAAAAAAAAAGGTTAAAAAGTTATTAACACAATAAGATAAGAGCATTGACAATCTAAAAACAGAACAGAAAGGACCTAATTCTTCGCAGACGCTATTGTGTAATAGAAAATTAGAAGCACCAGACAGCCAGAAAGTTTCTATTGAAGACTCGCTTGTTACAGACTAACTTTTACCAAGTCACCCATGCGGCTTTAGTGCTCTGCTTTAGCACTAAATCAACCTAATATCCCTCACAACACTTGGACTTGAAGCACAAAACACTCTAAGAAGAAGAGTAGAGACAGGAATTGGAGAAAGGAACACTTCACTAAGAAAGAACAATTACAACAATTGAAAGCTTGGAAACTTGGATGCTTTCTTAGGTGATTACAAATGAGGGGAGAAATTCTTATTTATAGCACTCTCCAAGCCCAAGGGAACATTCTAGAATACATTAGATTATTCTAGCTTCTAGAGAGTTCTACACTTCCTCTCTTATGTACATACGTAGTCTTACAGCTTTCAAGGTTACTCTTGAGTTTATCCTTGGAGCTTTTCCGTTTAGCATTCTCTGGAATGAGGTGGAATATTCTAGAGTCCCATGGATGTCTTCTATATTTTGGCCTTCTCTAAAACCTTCCATACCTTGAGGGGCTTGCCAATTTCTAGAAGATGGTGGAGCGTGACACAGTGGTCAATATGGAAAATTAGATGCCACAGATCCACAAATGAGGGGAGGGGCTCTTATTTATAGCCCCCTCCAAGCCCAAGGGAACATTCTAGAATACATTAGATTATTCTAGCTTGTAGAGAGTTCTACACTCCCTCTCTTATGTACATACATAGTCCTAGAGCTTTCAAGGTTACTCTTGAGTTTATCCTTGGAACTTTTCCACTTAGCATTCTCCGGAATGTGGTGGAATCTTCTAGAGTCCTATGGATGTCTATATTTTGGTCTTCTCTATGACCTTCCATCCCATGAGTGGCTTGCCAATTTCTACAATATGACGGAGCGTGGCACGCTGGTCAATATGAAAAATTAGATGCCACAGATCCATTGCTTATAAGAAAACAGCTCTCACAAATTCATATAAAAAAAAAGAATGAGCTAATAGATTACTTCCTTGGCATCAATCAAAGATCCATATATAATCAAATGGCACTGAAGACTATTTTTATATAATTTTTTATTTACCTTTTTTCTTTATGGATTTGTATATAAAAACCCATTGAAAGAACAAATAAACTAAATTTTTCTAGACATTTATTCTTTTACAATTTCCCTTCCTTTTGTCACATCCAATGATAAACCGTAACGAATGACAGTTGAAATTTGAATCATCTGATAGAAGAAAGAAAGTCGATATAGTAGTTCACAATTAGTGCTTGTTGGTTTCATTTAGAACATGGTTTTGAATATTAGTTATAACAAAATTGAACCAAGGTTTTTTAAAAGCTTTGGGCACCACCACTCCGAACTACAACAACTTATTGGGTTTCACCATAATATTTACAAAGGAAATGTAGCACTTTATAACACTCGGTTTAAATCCCGTTATAAAGCTAGCGTTACACTTACAGTGGAGACATCATTTGGAAAAGAGTTAAGTAGCGGTGGACAGAGAGGAGTCGGGCGAGTGCTTCACTGAGCAAAGGGAAATGGAGAGCAAGAAGGCCCAAACGAGCTTTTATGAGATTTGAAACTAAGCAAGAGGGAAACAGAAACTGAAAAGGGCCAGGTGAGTTGTCTAGGTTTTGAAACCGAGCAGGAGAGGGAGCATAGGAGCTTAAGGAAAGAGCAAGCTCGCAGTTGCATTCGATCCTGAGATAACGCATCTGAGTGGAGCTTTATGTCCATCATGACAAGAAGCTGAGGAAAGTGAGCGTCAAATGCGGACAAAGATGCTAGCAATTGACATGAGCACATCGAAACTGAGCAATGAGACACAAGCATTGCCTTTTGCACAAAGTAGAAGCCAAAGAGGGAGGAAGCGTAAGTGTGCAAAGATGCTAGCAATTGACATGAGCACATCGAAATTGAGCAATGAGACACAAGCATTGCCTCTTGCGCAAAGTAGAAGCCAAAGAGGGAGGAAGCGTAAGTGTGATAGTGATTCAAAACCGGCATTCGTTTGATCCTTCAAGGCCGATCAAACTTGGCCAGGTGAAGGCCGAGAGGCATTTTTTTTTAGTTTTAAACCTTATTATTACTTATTTTATGTATTTTGGACTTTTTCAAATATTAGTAATAAAATTTAAAAAATGATGTATAATTTAGAAACTTAAATTACATAAATTAATTTGATTAATAAATGAAATAATAATAATATTAAGATTATCTAGGTTAAAATTGATTAGATATAATATATATGTTAGGTATTACTTTGAAAGATTTAAATGTTAGTGATGATTCACTAAATTAAATAAATTAATAATTAGGATTCAATTTATTAAAAGCTAATCTTCATATTATATAAAATGATTAAAATTTTAAATTAAGTTTTATTAAGTAAATTGAGGAAATAAATATATTAAAAGTAAACTAATGCATTTATTGAAATTTGAAAGTAAAAAAGGTCAATTAAATAAATTATGTTATGCTTTATAAAAATTAGGAAAAAATATTAATAAAAGCAAATAAAAGTGTTAGAAAAAATATAAATTCTAAAGATATTAAAATTGAAGTAAAAATAAAATGTAAAATGAAAATTAGCATCATAGTTGAGAGTGATTTTTATCTGAGAAAGTGATTTTTATATGAATATTATACTAAATAGATAATTACATCATAGAAAAAATTTTAGTTAATTTATTTTAGAGATTTTACTCAAAATTTAAAATAAAAGCTTATATTATTGAAGGATGATCAACTTGTTTAGGAATTAGTACATGTAAGTTTTTGATTTCATGCAATATACTAAATCTTGGATATCTTTGATAATAGGTTTAGGTAGAGTCAAAGAGTTTGTAAGGTGTTTCAAACGTCAAAGCAATCCATTGAAGATCTATAGGTTTAGGTAGAGTCAAAGAGGTGTTTCAAACGTCAAAGCAATCCATTGAAGATCAAGATCTAAGATAATTTATTAGTAATTATGCTCCTCAATTGCAGTAATATTTCTTATTTTAAAATATATACTGATTTTAGTTTTTTGTAGTTTTAAGCTCTAAATCAATGAAATTCAACTACAACCGATTCTTCATATTGTCAGGTATGAAATATACATGTAAACATTTCTACATAAATAGTGGCACAATAATTATACTTATCATAGAATAACATTCATCTATTACATGACTTTTAAATCACGTTAGAATGGCATTTATTCACTGATAAATAATTATAAATATTTCATAAGAAAATAATGCAAGATATGATTAATGAAAATAATCTTATATATTAATCCTTGTATGTTCATGATAAGAAAGGAGTTCACCTCTTATGTCACTAGGAGGGGGAACTAATGCACCTGAACGCATAAGATGTATTTCTACCACCTTATACAATCATGAAATTTAGATCAGAAACTGTTGTGCCAACAGTAGAATATCGATCAAGGGTGAGCATTTATCCTTCTTCTTCAGACATTAGTAGACTTGTTTTATCCGCTGTGCTGACGGGATATGTATCGGCCAAGGTTATTTTAAATTATGTTTAGAAAATACTCTTACGACGAATGTACAACTTAAGATAAATAAGTGCACTAAAATTTAAAAGATAAAAGATTGATGCATATAAAAAATTTAGATTCCATTTATGAGTATATATATGACATTAATATTATCACATAATTTTCTATAACATAATAAGAAAGATCATCATGTATACTATATTTGTTTCATTGAATTACTATAATTTAGATAACTCATAATGTTGTTTTAATATTTTTAGGTAAAAGGAATAATAAATGAAAAAAATATTTATGAAAGACATAGCAACCTGAAATAAAATAAATTTAAATGTTTTAAGTTTTTTTTTTTTTTTTTTTTTTTTTTTTTTGCTCTTTCATAATTTTTGAATGATCAATTATAGTGATAGAAAATGAAAATGGAAAATTAATTTCAACGTCCGATCGTTCGTCCCCATCTTGGAAATTTCAAGCTTTGAGGCTATGTCTTGACACACTCAAAACTGTTCCATGTGAAACTATATCATAAAAGTCTTTTACCATGATGAAGGCAGGAATCTGAATCTTAACACGGGCAAATGAACATCCTAGAGTCCATGTGCACAACAAAGCAGTATTGTTCATGTTATATAGGGTAAGAAATTTGTTTGAATTAATAGCAATACATGTAGAATTTGATTTAAATCATGCCCTTCGTACCCCGTCTAGGAAATTTCAAGCTTTGAGGTTAGGTCGTAACACACTCAAAACTGTTCCTAGTGAAACTATACTATGAAAGTTTTTTACCATGATGAAGGCAGGAATCTGAATTTGAACACCGGCAAATGAACATCCTAGAGTCCATGTACACAACAAAGCAGTAGCGTTCATGTTGAAT